CACTTCCGTTTTTAATATTTAAAAATTAAAGAAGTACATAAATATATATATATATTTCGTAACAAAAAAATGGAAAATATTATTAGCCTCCATAAACCTGATTTTTAAAAAGAAGCACGATCAAAATCTTGGTCCAATTCCAACAGAAAGTGTATAAATTATTTTCATATATATACATTATCGTTTGCACTACCGTTCATATTATATATATATGGTGTATATACATGTATGATGACCGAATCAACTTTCAGTAGAAAGTCCATCGTTGCTACTATATACACTATATGGTGGACAGAGAGAATAAGGAAATGAAAATATCAGTCTACTCGTTCTCTCTGTGGAATCGCCCCATTACTTGATTTCAAATTCTCGTGAAATCGCTATAAAAGCACATAGCGCGCATTTCGCATCAACTCGAAAACAATTTTATACTACATAACCTATAAAATACACCGGTCACGTATAAAGCAAGCCACGTGCGCGCCCCAAGTACGCTGTACATCAGAAGGAGAAAGATAAAGAATGAAAGAGAGAGGGAGGGATGGATGGAAAAAAGAGAAAGATCCTTAACGTGCTCGCATTATTTCAAAATTCATACGACGAACGTCGCGTTCAACCAACAGGCAATCGATTCAGTTAGAGCCGACATTTTTTACCAAATCCTCCAACCCCGCCGCTCACCAACAACGAATCCTTTACGCTCTCTTGCCTCTTTGTCTCTTCACTCTCGACGCATTGCTTACTTGTTTGATACGCTTTTTATCGGTCCTTGAAGTTGAAGATGAAGAATCAGAAGCGAGGAGACGATTCCGGAATTGAAAAGGGAATATACCGAATAAAAGTATTCCTTGTTCCTTCAGTTTTGTTTTTTTTGCCTTCCCTTTTCATTTATTGTTTTTAAATTCCAGAATCAAAATTTGCACTTGGCAGAATTAGTAAAGATATTGCAATCCGTAAAACTAACAACTATAAGTAATTAGCAACTGAAAACAGTAACGAAAGCTAGTGACGTCCAAAAAGACATATGGATTTTGTGAATGAAAATTAATACGAAGATAATGTGAAGGGACGTTTTCAGATTAAATGATGTTCGTTAAGGAAGCGCACTGCATTGCACACATATAGTAGAATGATGGTAGGCAATAATAAATGGTAAAAATGACGAGAAAGGTTGCCAACTGAGATGATGAGTTAAGAGAGTCAGTTAAGATGAAGGAATAGATAATGATGCCTCATAATGTATGCGTGAATGTGTACTCCTCTGTAAAAGATCAAGATGTAGAATCGTGTCTGTATATATATACAAGCAGTGGCGTCGAGTCGTATACTAAAAACTTTCGTGACACGCACAAATTCGTTTGCATCCTTGTTTTTGAAAACACTTTCAAGAATTTTTCTCCTTGTTCTGCTTCTTGACTTTTGAAGCATTTTCTAATTTGACATTGTGCACCGCATGTGCTATTTTTGAACCACAAACTCATGCTGAATTGAGATCTTATGCTTATTATAACTTTGTTCTATTTCTGAAGCACATTATTTTAATGATGGACTTTATTTTGATACTGGATAAAATTCTGATGATGGAGGGTATTTTAATGATGGAGGATATTTTGATTATGGAGGATATTTTGATACTGGAGATTATTTTGATGATGGGGGATATTTTAATGATGGGGGTTATTTTAATGTTAAAGCCTATTCTGATGATGGATCCTATTTTGGTTCTGGATCATATTCTTGAATTGTATCCTGATACTAAATCTCAGCCTAAACCTCAGCTACACTTTATCCTAAAGGTGAACCTGATAAGGCACATCTTAATATAGAATCATATTGAAAATTTGAACGTTGTTCTGAAGCTAAAATCGGTATTAAACTATATCCTGAGGCTAAGACTTTACTTACTGCTAAACTAAATTTTGATGCTGTACTACATCTTAATTCTGAATTAGATTTTAATGCTGAATTAGATCTTAATGCTGAAATAGATCTTAATGGTGAAATAGATCTTTATGCTGTATTAGATCTTAATACTGAATTAGATCTTAGTGCTAAATCAGATCTTTATATGCTATAAGACACATTCTGATGCTAAACGACAATATAAATGCTAAAGTGTATTTAAAGGCTGAACTATATCTTCGTGTTGAAATATATTTTAACGCTAAACTTCTTTAATGAAATAATATAAACATTTCAATATAAAAGATTTTTCTTTAATAAAGAATTTAACAGTTATCCGTGAATTTCCGAAGTACAACAAACAAAATCATCATCATCAATCCTATAAAAGAAACCCAAAAATAATTCGTAACATTTACAACAACAAACTTTAAGAAGCATGAAAATAGCATAAAAATTTTGGAACAATATCTTTAATGTAAAAAACCAAACGTTAAAATCTAAAAGGAGTTTTGAGATCTTATCATCAAAATTTAATCAAGACTTTTATCCCTATTGTGAACCCCATCATGATGAAACTCACTGAAACCGCAGTGAAGCGTGTAGTTTTGCACGAAACCTATGCAAACACTATAAAAGAGAAAAATATTTGCACAGGATAATTCAGGTCCTCATTATCAGGACAAGGAGACGAATTGGGGGCCTAAACTCTCTATAGGTTGTCCAGGTGTTGCAGGTAGTAGACACACGAAAAAGAAGTTTCACGCAGTATAAGAGAGAGGCGAATGAAGAGAAATAATAATATAAGAAGAGTAGAGTGCAAATGTGAAGGAGCAAAAATTGCAGTAGAGTGGGGGGTACGAGATTGATTCGACATGCATAAATTAGAGAGGATAAGCCTTTATTCCGCGTTATGCGTCGGTATTCCAATTGGAATTGGGATGCGCGCACATGAGAAATGCGAGTATAAATTGATGACTGTTGGCAAAAGCCAAGGGGTCTATAATAATTAATCTTCGCATATGTCTGTGTATATCTTCACTATATGGCATCTGCCTCGCGACTTTTGTCGGGGGCGATAAAAAATTATTTTTTTTCCTTTACACTCCGAAAAAAAATACAGAGAAAAAATTTCTGTATTAATATATTATATATACGAAAACTATATCCAACTAGCGCTAATACTTTTACTGAACGCAACTAAGAAAACTTGGTCTGTATTGTCTTAAAAAAGTAAAATTTATGTTGTGGTGAAATAGATAAATAAACTCAAACTACCGAGTAAAAATTGTAACTGTATTTTGATAACATTTTTTGTTAGGGTAAGAGAAATATTCAATTTACAAATGGTTGAGGTACAAACTAACCTGGCTAATTGGAAAAGTGAATAAGACGGATATGTTTGAAGAAGGTCATTATCATTAATAACAGTTGTCTAGAATGTTAAATACTTACAAGTGCGCAATTCTAATTTGACAAATGCGAACGTCCTGATTTAGAATTTTGATAAATTTGTTCTAGAAAAAAAGAGAGAAGGGGTATTTTTCCCTAAAAAGAGAAGTTTTCTTTTTTCTCCAATGAGCACTATATCGAGGACGTAGAAAGCAATCACGACAGTGGATCTTGGTATTTCTGTTTTTATGAATCAAAGAGCGAGTCACTGAGGCGAACCAACATCGATCACTATACACCATAACCAGTCAAGGATGTCAATATAACGAAGACAGGGTGGTTCGTTAGCCACGAATCAATTACTTTCAAAAAATATCATATCCATAAATTACTGAATTCTTTTTTTGCGAAAAAGGAAAATTAATATTTTTCCCCTCAAAGAAACAAGGAAAAATTTATAATTTTTGACTAATAAAACTTTTAGTAAAAATTTATCGAATAATGGATACATTTTTCATTACCGAAAATTGAGAACTAGATAAATATCTTTTGAAATCGGAGACGTAGTGATTTTTTTTTGCCTCTTTTAAAAGTTTCAATCCTTTTGGTTCTCTCACTTAAAAGTCAACGACTTACGCCTACGGCCGATCACGAAGCCGGGATGTATCGTATGTTAGAGGATTATCGATAGCATGTCGGTGGGAAGGAATCAAGAAATATGAAACGAGAAAATCTTGAACCTTGAAAGAAATTGAAAAATAAAAGAAAAAATTACAAGTATCTTTTTATCGAAAAGGATTTTTCTATTATTGCTATGTGTGCATTATAGACAGACAGGGAGAACATCCGGGAATTAGAGAATTGAAAATAGAAAAAATTCAAAGATTGATCATTTTTTGTCGTCGATGTATATGATTATTTGTAAATGGGCGCATAGACACGTGAATGGTGTAATTGATTGTGATTTATAAATTACGTGGTTATTATTGATACATTGTTATTTAAATCTAATGAGGCAAAAATAAGAAACTTTTGAGGAATATTGTATTTTTAACCGCGAATTGGTATCATTGCAAAAATTGTCTTTTTAATTTTTCAACAGAAACACCTATAGAAATTATTTTTAATTAATACTTACGTAAATTGGATCCATTTCAGAAAATGTCTTTTCTATTTTTCAACAGAAAACACTAAAAATTATTATTAATTACTATTAACCCGATGTGGATCCATTTCAAAAATGTCTTTTCAATTTTTCAACAGAAAACCCTAAAAATTATTTTTAATTAATACTTACGCGAAGTGAAACCACTTCAGAAATTGTCTTTTCAATTTTTCACCAAAATACCTTTCAATCTATATTTATTTAATTACTATTTACCCGAAGTGTTTCCATTTTAAATTGACATCACCAGAAATTGTAATTTTCCACCTGTAGCAAAATAAAGCATTAATGTCTGTTAAGAGCATTAAATTAAATAAATACTGATCCTAAGAAATAATTACATTTTTAATTTAAAATGATAATTAAATTATAAAATTTAATAATAACTATTTAAATTCCTGAAGATAATAAGAATTTTAATTAATAAGAATAATATACTAATTTAAAAATAATTATCTACTAATTAAAATTATTGAATAAAATAATAATAAATTGTTAATGAAAATAATAATTGATTATACTTACATTTTTCGTTTTGCAGAAGACGAAGTCGAGGTGAGGAGGACTCGGGCGGCGTTACAGAGGAGGATCAGGCTGGCTACGGAGCAGTGGCGGGATCACGTGAGCCTGAGGACGAAGAAAATTTAGGATCCGAGGAGGCACAGTCCCTGCAGAACGCGACCGGGGTCCAGGGTGCGGCCGAACCCGGCGACCCGGAAGTCCACAAAAGGGTCGCGGCCGTGCAGGTACAAGTGCAGGGTATGGAGGGCGATTGGCGCGCCTACTGCGAGCATCCGCTATCGGTCGCTACCGCAGCCATGCTTAATCTTCAGCAGCAACATCAGGTGACGGCCGTTTCCAGTCATAATGACGATCCGGCCGCATCCTACGTCTACGAGTACTACAAAATTCCCGAGAAAGCCACCGAAGTCAAACTACCACCAACGCACGAACTCTGGTCCACGTAAGTTTTATTTTTCATTTATCTCTCTTTCTACATTTTTTTTATATTTATTAATTAACTTTTAGTTCTTTTTAAATCGATTTTATTTATTTTTTATTAACCGAGTTCACTTTTCCGAACACGTGTCTATTCGATTCGCGTATGGAATTTACAGGGTCGGCTAGGTTAGAAGTTATTTTAAAACATGAATTTTTAATAGATGGGAAACTTGCGAGAAAAAAGTGTCCCTAGTGAATATTGTACGCATAGAGGGTAGCAGGAACAATTTTTCGAATCTAATATTTCTGTAACGAATTTTTTTTAACTAGAGTAGAAAATAAGTTACAGACAAGAAATGAACTTTTTTCAAAATACGGTCTTTCTCAGTTGGTGAAAGCGTGATTCTAAAGCGATAAGAAGCGCGCACCAATTTGGAATGATAAATCGGTGTTGAGGGCTTGGGGATTTTTTTTTTGCACCGCGGCGCGGATACAATTTTCGCAACTTCTCGAGACTCATTTTTTTTTCTTTATATTTTCTTTACATCCAACCTCCTTTTATTGTCTCACGGCACATGCATTTTGCCGCGCACATATATACATATATGTATAATCAAGTTGAGCGCCTACGTATCTTTAAGTACTTACGTATCTCGTTTTTAATATATAGCTCACGGTGCAAATCGCGTTATATCCTACGCGTAATTTGCGCACTGAAATTTAGTATATCTCGTACATGTATAGATATCTCTCTCTCTCTCTTTTCTCTCTCCCCTCTCCCTCCTTCTTTCTCTCTCTTATATATAAATCTCTTTTAAGAAAGAGAGAGAAAGAAAGAAAAAGAGTGAGTGAGAGAGAGAGAACGTACCTCAAGCAGAGGTCGACCGAGTTTATAAATCGTCCTTTAAAAAGCAAGATACTTCAAGTCAGGGGATTTTATAAATATAAAAAGTGCTTTCGATGTATATATGATCAGTGAACGACTGAAGAAAATTCTCTTGTGAAATTTACCAAATAAACATTACGTTCTGTCTCCTCATAAGTTGTAAAATTACGCACGGACATAAGAGAGAAAAAAATCAAAATGATTTCCCTGCCCGGCACTATACGTCTGGAGTGAATGTTTATCGCAAACTAATAAAGCTTTATACACTCGTAGACAAAATTTATAAAGTTTGCATATATATGAAATTTGCTGTATAGATAAATTCAATTGGAAACAAATTTCAATCCGTTGAAATTGTAGTCTTCGTCTTTTACGATTTCTTATAAATTTCATGTAAATTGTCCCCCTCTCTTTTGCTGCAGAAGATTAAGAATAAGAATAATCAGAGAAGAACATTCCAAGACATTTAAAATTTTATATCTTTTTATTTAGAGAAGAAAATTGCTGTTCGTAGAGAGTATTTTTAAATGGTTTTTAAATTTCGCGCGTTAATTGTTTGCGCAGGGAGCGCTGTGAGTTGTTTCGTAGGTAGGGGGTGTTTTCGACCTCACGCTCGGAGTGCTCTGCAAGAAGACCAAACGTGATTGGTTGGTGAGTGAAATGGTGAATTTTGATTGGCTACAACTCTAAATTGACAATTTGTGAGTTTTATATATTTTATAAAATTTTAATTTAAAATATAAATGTTTTAATTTATACATGGTTGCCACGCAACCTGGAAACCTGGAAATGTTAGGGAATTTTATAAACCTTGAAAAAACCTGGAAAAGTCAGGGAATTTTGATCGAAATCCTGGAAAATTGTTGTTTTCTAAAGTTATTGTGTTTATTCTTAAAATCTGATTTTTCTTAAATATTTCAAAATTAATTCAATTTTAAAAGAGATGCGTTTACAATTTTCATAAATAGATCAACTTCAAAAGATTTTAATTTGTAATTTTGTAAAATTTCAATTTTAAATGGATTTAATTAGAAATTTTAAAAAACCTAGATTTTTAAAAAAAATATTTAAAATTCTTCTGAAATTAGTTAAATTTTTTAATACATATTTAATTGATTATTAAGAATAATGGATTTATAGAAGAATTTTAGTTAAAAACACTAAAACAAATTGAATTTTGAAACAATTACAAATAATTGCAGAAATTCAATTATTTTCAAAAGTAGTCAAATTCTTATCAAAAATTCAATAATTTTCAAAAATTGTAATAAAATTCTTGGCAAAATTTTAATTATTTTCAAAAATTTTTCTCAATTCAATGATTTTAATTGATTCAATGATTTAACTTTAATAAAAAAAAATCTAAAAGAATTAAATTATTTTCATAAATAATAAAATTCATCGAAGACTATCAATTATTTTTAATACAATTTTAATGGAATTCCTCAAAAAATGTAATTATTCTTAAAAATTATATTAAAATTTACTAATGAAATTCAATTATTTTAAAAACCTTTGCTTCAATTTATATATTAGAATTTAAGTATTATTTTCAATACAGTTTTAATTAAATTTCTTCAAAAAATTAAATTATTTTCAAAACTTTTAATGAAATTCTTTGTACCAATTCAATTTTTTCAAAATAAATTTAATAATATTCTTCATAGAAATTTAATAAGTTTCAAAAATTTGTCAAAATTCAATTATTTTCAATGTCTACAATTTCAATAAAATTCGTCTCAATAATACAATTGAGGCCTTGGATCCAATAACTCGCCCGACGCTCGGAGGAACGCGCAACTGCCAGTCAGTGAGCAGTGAGCGCCTCTGGGCCACTCACTGCTACCCGACTGGTATTAGCGCGTTCCTCCGAGCGTCGGGCGAGTTATTGGATCCAAGGCCTCAATTATTTTCAAAAATAAGAAAATTCTTTGCAGAAATTTAATTATGTTCAAAAATTTACAAAATTTCAAAATTCTTTATAAATAATAAAATTTTTCTCTGAAACTCAATTATTTTCAAAAATTTTAATAAAATTCTTGGAATATTTTTCCTATTTTTTTTTGTAGTCCTGATGAGCCATGTTCTATGGCGAAAATACATTTGAGAAAATAAACATTTAAATTAAATATTAAAGAAACTACATCTTCTTGGACCAAACGCCACAAAAATATTCACTTTATTATCTATAAAATTAAGGTCCTTTCAAAAAACTTCAATTTATAATAATATTCTTATATATGCTGATTTATTGAATTTCAAATTTTTGAAAATCTTATTTCCTGTGGCGAAATAATGATTAAATATTTATTTAAAAATGAAATTATTGATGTTTTCGATTAATTTTTCAATTAAAGAAATTTGCAAATAAATGTAATGAACATTTTTTTGTGTATCTAATCATTTTGCGAGTTACATTAATTGATTAAATTTAAAATGTAAATTAATTAATAAAAAATATATTTTTTTTAAATCGATAGTCGACTGGGTCAGAAGTTATTTTTAAGGTTGAATTCGAAAATAATAAATATAAGGAAGAGAATAAACATAGGGTTAGTTTTAAAAAATAGAGTTTTGTATATGGATAGTGCGAGGAGAGTGGGGGAAAAATTTAAAAAACGTTTGAGAGGTTATACAAAGCTGAGAAGCGTGGATTTTATACCGTCGAAACATTATACTTTATATTCTGCAATGACGCATAATTCAGTTGAATATACACTGTGTGTACCCTCCACAAACCGAGTGTAGGTGTCAGCGCATCGGGTTTTTGTACTTATCAACACAAACTCGCAAATGAGTTTACAGTTTTACACGCGAATATTCGCCTCTCTTGCATCAGGACGCGCTAAATAAGGCGAAAAGCAAAGCTCACCGTATAAAGCGGAATTCCTGCTTGTCGGTAAATTAGCAATTAACAACCTTTTCGTATAGCAAGCATACACGATTAAGAACTCTGACAAACCCAACAGTCTTGACATTTGTTTGTTTCTTTTTTTCCTTCTTCTTCTTCTTCTTTTATTTCTTCTTTTTCCTTAAAGATTCCTTCTCATTCGTATTTATTCAAAAATTATTCCTCTCTCTCTCTCTCTCTCTCTCTCTCTCTCTCTCTCCTACCTCGAAAAAATTAGTATACCGATGTTATTAAGAATTTAATTCAACTCCTTTTATAATATCCTCCAAATTGATTTCTTTTTCATAAATTTACATTTAATTAACTTTCATTATTATCTTATTTATTAAATAATTTTTTTTTTGAATTTTTTAATAATATATATTAATAAGCTTCTTGTGAATCGGTAATTACATCCTTTATATCATTATAAGAAGAAGGAACAAAAAAAAATGCGAGAAAAACGTTTTGTAAATAATTTTAATCATTAAATGACAAATGTTCAATTACCCAGATTTTAAATTCCCGTATTCACTTTATTCCATATTCATTAAGATAATAAAAAAATAGAGAGGACACAAATAAGTGATAAAAAGAAAATAAAAAAGAATTGCGCTTGATTAGCCCGACAAGCAGGAAATCGAATTCTAATAATAATTCATATATATATACGTATATAATAAAACGAAAGAATTGAACCGGAATAGTGATAAGCGGAATGTCAATCGATTATTTCTCATTAATTGTTGACAAATAATTTATCTCCAACTTCCTGGATTTGATTAGAAATTATTTTTTTTTTAACAGGAAAGAAGGGAGGGGAAATTTTCAAATTTAAGATTTATAACAGACGTGAAACAGAAATATAGTTGTGAAACGCGGGGTAAATAAATAGTATACGATGATGCGTAGTTTTATTTTTTCAAATCGTTCACTAATGAGCTAATTTCTATGTCGTGGAGAAGAAGAAGCTATATATGATATCACACTTATGAGATTTTATTTTATTTCTTCTCCTTTTTTTAATACTTTCAAGTCCTAAGAGAGGCCATCGATTTCTCTACGTCCCATGGCTGTCATATCGAAGGGCGAAGTTACACCGTTAATTAATTTCCACGCAGTGCGACGCGCACACATTGAGAGTCCATATATAATGCAATCGAGATTCTTTCATGAGAATAAAATGAGAGGAAAAAAAATTATTACCCGTCGCAATAAAGCCACCGTGTGGTATGAATTGACTCCT